CCTCTTCTTTCTCTAAATAAATAATGTGTATACTATTGTGACATATATTAGTGAGGAGGAATCATTGCATTAGACAACCAACGGCTAGAAACCTTGTTCACCATACCATAGTAGCCCGGGCTCTCCATAGCCCGTGCTACTTGCAACTTTTGGTTCCCAGTAGCTGAATCAACAACAACATCGACTAGAAAGACGGGGTCCAAGAGCTAACAGCTGGTTCCTGCAGGCACAAATATTAATAAACCATGTGTGTATTTACTATGTGTATATAAAATGTTTGATTACAAATTTCACAAATTGTTTACCGACGGTGCTGGTGGAGGCTGTAGACCTGTGCTGGTACTGTTGTATAGTTGTGTCTTATTGTCTTCTCTACCTGTCCTCGCAACCCGTCCTCGCAACCTGTCCTCTCAACCTGTCCTCGCAACCCGTCCTCGCAACCCGTTCTCTCAACCTGTCCTCCCAACCCGTCCCCTCAACCCGTCCTCTCAACCCGTTCTCTCAACTAATACGTTTCAATTTATACGTTCTGGTCCCCAACGTACAAATTACAGGGTACTATGAAACGTAGTGGCTCACAAATATCCGTTTTCTATGTTCGTTATGTTCCGTTCTTTATTCGTGGGTTCTCGGGTAGGTTTGGTTCGGGCAATTTAGTACAACAGTTTAGTGACGTTGAGAACGCTCGGGAGGACGGCCTGGTGTGGCATGGGTTCCTGCGAGTCTGGTTAGCTTAGCACTTGTACTCACCTACTTGTTCTTGTAGGACTGAGCTCCGGCTCTTGAATCCCGCCTCTCGACCATCAGTCAACTGGTACACAGGTTCCTGAGCCTATTGGACTCTTATTATATTTATATTTGAATCTGTGTATGGAGTCTGCCTCCACCACGTCACTTTCTAATGGTTTCCATTTCTTAACTTCTCTTAACACTGACAAAATATTTCTAACATTTCTGTGGCTCATTTGTGTACTAAGTTTCCACCTGTGTTTGTGTTCCATCCGTGCTAGATTGTAGGTCTTTATCTGGCCCTGTTAATTCCTCTGAAAATTGTGTAGGTGTTCTTTGTACGATGTGCAAACTAAGAGAACGGGCTGGTGTCCTGGGGTAGGAGACCTGGGGAGGGGGGGTGTTCTTCCTCACCTCTCATTCATTCACTCATTTTTTTGTAAGGTAGAATTATCTCTAGGCATGTGAAGTTTGTTCTCACCTGTATATCGCCATTGGTAATTTATAATATTATGAATAGCATTTTACCGTATTGTTTATTTATTCCCAAATTTTTAGTGACTGTGTTTCAGTCGCCAGCCTCTTGCAAAATCGAAAACAATATTTCGAACGTTTTTAGGATATACGCTTCGAGATTCCTCTGTTGATGGAATCTCTGATAGTCACACGTGACACCTTTATTTGATAACTTACTCTTGAAGAAGGAAACTTTATCAGGCCAAGTTGGGTATGCTTTTTTGGGAATTTGTAAAATGTTTTCAGAGAAGCCTATCTCTTGTGTGTTGGAGGTCTGGGCGTGTGTGTTGGAGGTCTGGGCGTGTGTGTTGGAGGTCTGGACGGGTGATGGAGACTTTGAGGGTGACAAGAGTGAGTTCCTCTCCACCTGTTATAATTATAAGCTAATATTAGTATAATCCATATTATTATCAATTATAATTAACTTGGATATTATTCAAATTGTAATTGTTTTAAATCACTATTTTAATATATAAAGGAAAAAAATTGTTTTCACTTGTTTTACGCATAGCAAATACAAAAATTCAAGCATGTATATTTTAGAAATTTAGGTAGTTGTGTTGCCATATAATTTGTTTTAATAAAATGTAGTAGAGTATTAACGTACACACAATGTTTTTTAAATTATTGGAAAAATATTATTTTAAATACTGACAAATTATTGTTTGAAATACTGAACAATTATTTGATTGCTTTATACATTTTGTTACCAAATGTAATCGTAAACAATAATACCTTCCATAAGTGCATTTAGCTTTTAAAGTCATAAAAGGCAAGAGGAACACTCAGTATTGCTGGTAAAGTCTTACAAGCCCTGTGGGAGTCTATTGTTGGTACAGTCTTACAAGCTCTGGGAACCTCCATTATTACTGGTAACGTCTTACCAGCCCTGAGGGACTCTCAATATTGCTGGTAAAGTATTACAAGCCCCGAGGGATTCTCAGTATTGGTGGTAAAGTATTACAAGCCATGAGGGACTCTTCAGTATTGCTGGAAAAGTCATGCAAGTCCTGATTTTTTTGTAATATGGGATTTAATTATGCCTTGCTGTTTAGAGGAAAATGTTTACAAATGATAATAATATTAGATAGCTGTATTTGTAATATTTTAGCCATTAATAATAATTTAAATAATAATAATTATTATTAATATTATTATATCCAAAAGCAAGAATAATAATGATAATGATAATAATAATAATAATTAATGGTAATGTCTTCTCACAGACATAATTCTCATTATTATTATTTTGGCTAAAAAGTCACACTTGTGTATTTGTGAAATTTATGTAACGAATTTACCCCAAGTCTTTCACACTCTCCTGAGTGCTTTGTCGAGGTCTGAGTGTGTGGTGAGAACGAGACTTATATCTCAACCTCTAATCTATGATTTCACAAATAAACAAGTCTGAGTTTTTAGCCAAAATAATAATAATAATAATAATAATAATAATAATAATAATAATATTATTATTATTATTATCGTTATTGTTATTATTACTATGATGATAATGATTATTTTTTCATTGATATATCACGTTGCTGTGATTTCTCTGTATAATAATAATAATAATAATCCACGGTAGGTGGGGCGGGCCACCATGGTGGTCTCTAGGGCGTCGGGTTGAGGCACCTCAGAAGCCTCACGCAGAAATATTACAAATACAGTATAGCATAACACTTAAAGAAATATATAATGTTTGTATTCGACAATTTGATCTGTAAATATTGTAATAATACATCTAATTATAGGGGTTATTATATGTTTGAAAATACTATATAAAGTAGTATAGTTATGATTCCATTGAGCTTCAGACTAGAACGGTGGCAAAACTGATAATTGTTTTAGTATAATCACAGTCCACTACGGGCTCACCATAGGCCGTGCTACTTAAAACGTTTTGTTCCAGGAAGCGAGTCTTTAACAACAACAACATGATAATTGTCCTGACGTACTGGAATACCGATTGTCTCGTATTCATACATACCACCTCTCACTTCATATTGCTATTTTAACTATTATTAACTAAAGTGAATTATTGCTATTATTATCATCCTTATTGTAAGAAACAACCTTGGCAGGGTATATTAGGCCGATGGAGCTGACGTCATTTGTAACACTAAGCGCCTAAATTGGTCTCCCTCTACCATCAGGGCGGGAAGAGTCACATTATAAACACAGACCCCCAGGACACCAGCAGACAACTAAGGACACTAACAGACAACCCTGTACACCAACAGTAACCCAGGACACCAGAAGACAACCAGGACACCAGAAGACAATCCAAGACACCAGCAGACCCCCAAGACAACCTAGACACTTGCAGACAACCTAGGACATTAGCAGACAACCCAGGACATTAGCTGACAACCCTATACAACAACAGATAACCCAGGACACCATCAGACAACCCAGGACACCATCAGACAACCCAGGACACCATCAGACAACCCAGGCCACCAGAAGACAACCCAGGACTCCAGCAGACACCTGCAAACATCCATCACACCAGAAGACCCCACAGGACACCAGCAGTCTCCCAGGATACCAACCGATGGGATGGGACCCCCATCCCATCCTTGTGAAGATGTATTATTAAATACGAAAGTACCTAAGGAAATTCCTGTTTTAATCCTTCCTTCGTGGTCTGACACTCACTTTGTTCATCGTGTTAATTAATTCGTGATTTACACACACACACATAATATATATATATATATATATATATATATATATATATATATATATATATATATATATATATATATATATATATATATATATATATATATATATACAATACTGTAAAATATTTTAAGCAATTTTTTAGCCATCGTGAGTTACTTTTGTTGTTTATTAATTTTTTGTTATTTTACATTTAGTGTGCATTTTATTTTCCATTTTCAGATAAATGAAAACTGGAGACCTTTAATGGTACATAATATTTTTTTTTAATTACTTGTACAATTGGGCCAGGGAGGACAAGGCACCTCCCAGCTGGGTTAAATACTGCGGCATTAAACTGTCTGCCTATTACAGCAGTGTGTGTCTTAGCGCATTCCACACGGAAAGTTACACAACAACCCACCAGAATTATTCGTCAGGGAAAATGCAAAAATTCTATTACGCGGCGGATTTTCGAGTGCGAGTCATCCACTCGAGCCAGGAGTGGCGGCACATCGCGGCGGGCGGCACTCCGCTATGCTAATGTCGGCGGTATATCAAAATAGCGACTTACTGCACCAGAACTCGGGCCACGAGAAGTTTTCCCTCCCAAATTCCCGTACTCCGTGCTAAAATATGAAATCTAATAAATCAACATGTTTATTTTACGGTACTTGGTGGCGGCGCAAGTGGCGCTGATGGCGGGAGGCGGCGGCTGGCGAATGAGCCGCCCTCTGGTGTTTACTTAGGACGGAGGGGGCGGAGCCTGGCTCCTCGCCCGCGATGGATGGGCCACGCTGCCATCGCCGCTTTCTGCTATTATTAAGAATTGTATTAATATGATTTTATTTTACGTCTCTATAAGTGATGTTATATTTAAAGTTTGTAAGTATGTCTTGGTGTGTTATGAGAATATAACGAATATGAGCCAAGTGTTTGAGAAATAATTTTGTTAGCATTGTTGGAATCCGCCATAATGTGAGGGAGTGACGTGCTACCTGATTGGTGTTTCCCTCGACTCCTCCCTGAGCATGTTGGCCCCGCCTCTTGCGCCTCCATCATCATATAAATGCCAACCTTCATAACGGCGCGCTAGATTTCACATTACCTTCGTGCTGTGGAGACCACGCCGCTGTGACCTGCTACCTCTTGCCAAGATGGAGAAACCTTCGCCCGTGACGGAGCAAAAACCTGCCCAGAAGCCCAAGTTGTCCTTCAGTATAGACTCCATCCTAGGGCATCGTGACACCGCCGTCAGCCCTCCGACGTCATCACCCGAGCCAGACTGTCGCCCTGCCTCGTCGTGCAGTGCTTCTAGCGACGTGTCCTTCGTCAGCCAGGACTCTGAGCGTTCCCAGAGCCCCGCAGTGCCACTTGTGCGGCCCTTCCACCATATGGGTCCTTCACAGTGGATCCCCGCTCACCCCTACTTCCAGTTCACCGCTTCAGTTCATGGTGAGTACCATCACAGCAAAGGTATTTCCTGTTCTGCAGAGTTGTGTGTGAGAAAAACAATGATTGTAGATATCAGACAACACCCACTAGACTTGTGTAACAAGGTTGTGGCTCTCCCCAGGTGGCCCGCCTCTCCCCAAGCTGCCTAGCTCCGTGGTCCTTCGTAAACACAAGCCCAACAGGAAGCCCCGCACCCCTTTCACCTCAGATCAGCTTCTCTCTCTGGAGAAGAAATACCGGGAGAAGCAGTACCTGAGCATCGCCGAGAGGGCCGAGTTCTCCGCCTCCCTCAGCCTGACGGAGACGCAGGTCAAGATCTGGTTCCAGAACCGACGCGCCAAGGACAAGCGGCTCAAGGAGGCCGAGATTGAACGTCTGACTAGGCCTCTGTACCCGGCCTACGGCGGCCTCCTGCCCCTGGGAGGCCACCTTCCTGCCCTATCCCTGCAGCGGCCCTTGGTGCCCCTCCTAGGGTAGTGGAGAGATGCTCCCGTGATGTACCTGCAGCAGCCCCGGCTGCCTCGCCGCCCGCCCCTCCCAGGTCTCCGTCCAGCCTCTAGTCACCCCAACACTGGTGAGTGTCGCCGCGGAATTATTCAAATGTTTGCTTGTAAAGGGCACGTTTATGGACCTTTATTTGACGCCCGAAGAGAACTGTAATTGTTTGTTAGATTCGTCTGTTTTTTAAGGCTTAGTCAGCCATATACAGTATTTACAAGTAGCTTAATATATACAATATCTTAATATTTACATGAAGGTTAATATTTACAAATATCTTAATATTTATAAATATCTTAATATTTACATGTAGTTTAATATTTACAAATATCTTAATATTTTCAAGTAGCTTAATATTTACAAGTACAGTACCTTAATAATTACAAGTATCCTAAGTACAGTACCTTAATAATTACAAGTATCCTAAGTACAGTACCTTAATAATTACAAGTATCTTAATACAGTATTTACAAATATATTATTAACACGTATCTTATTATTTGCATATTAATATTAAGATTATTTTAATATTTACAATTATTTTAATATCTACAATTATTTTAATATTTAAAAGTATTTTAATATTTACAAGTATTTTAATATTTATAATTATTTTAATGTTTAAAAGTATTTTAATATTTACAATTATTTTAATATTAAAGTTTAAATCAAGAATATATATAGTAAATATAATTTTGATTTGTTTAAAATTGAAGTCATTTGTCACTAAATTTTGCCGAAATCGTTTCTTCTTTGTCTTGGCGCGACGAAAATATTTAACATTCCCTCATATATATATATATATATATATATATATATATATATATATATATATATATATATATATATATATATATATATATATATATATATAGTATTTATTTTATGGCCGCAAATGTTTACCGTGTAATCTGTTTCCCCCTCAGGTTCTTCACTTTCATAGTGACGCCCCCACCATCCACGCCCATGCCAACCACGCCCCTGCCACCTTCGCCCCTGCCACCCACGCCCCCAGCATACAACGTCAGCAGTAGTACCCTCGTGTTGATGATAGCACGGGGTGAAGCGTGTTCACTTCCGTACCCTAAACCGCACCCCCTTCCTACTACGCCCTGGATGCCTACCTATTTCCACGCCACCTGTGTCCAGTACACACATATTCCGCGGACGCCCATGCCAACTTACGCTCACACCACCCACACACACTACCGCCCACCTGCACTCACACTGCCCTCCTACACTTACACCGCCCACCTACCCTCACCCCGCCCACCTACCCTCACCCCGCCCACCTACCCTCACCCCGCCCACCTACCCCTCACACCGCCCACGCCTGGTGTCCCTATAGTTGGAAGACGGAGATATTGACTGTGATAATCTTGTGCAATATAGATGTAAATAATTAATATTTTATAAGTTGAGAATGTTAATTTTTTTAATAAACTTACAACTATGTTTAATTTTCTTTTTTAATACCCATCATCTAAATAAAGAAGGCGCGGATATAATAAAGAAAATATAAACTGTACATAAGTATTACTTGTATTAGAAAAGTGTGTTGAAGTGTTGGTAATGGGCGAGTGGTGGTAACTGTTCGGCCTCCAGTCTTCTCATCTCACCACAAGTTACTGTGGTGAGATGAATGATTTCACGATTACTTATAACTGAGAATTATAAACGCTAACAGCGCCTCTATCGCTCTTTAACTGTTGACTGGTCTGTTAAGCAACTCCTCTACCCCACTTAACTGTTGACTGGTCTGTTAAGCAACTCCTCTACCCCACTTAACTGTTGACTGGTCTGTTAAGGAGGAAGACGTTAATAATAGAAAGCATGTAATCGGTCATTGTAATAGTCTTTATATTACTATATTATGACTAAGGAGATAAATGTAAGTTTTATATATATATATATATATATATATATATATATATATATATATATATATATATATATATATATATATATATATATAATGTACCTAGTAGCCAGAATGCACTTCTTGGTCTACTATGCAAGGCCCGATTTGCCTAATAGGCCAAGTGATTTTCTTTTTTTTCAACAAATTGTTTATAATTGGTTTATTTGAATTATTATTATTATATTAGGAACATAAATTATTGACTTTGTTATGTTAGTTTAGGTTAGGTTATGCTAGGTTAGGTTAGGCAGGGTAGGTTAAGTTCGGTCATATATCTACGTTAGTTTTGACTCAAATTTAAAAAATTAACTCATACATAGTGAAATGGATAGCTTTATCATTTCATATGAAAAACTTTAGAAAAATATGTAAATTTAGAAAAACTTCGCTTATTAGGCAAATCGGGCCTTGCACAGTAGACCGAGAAGTGCGTTCTGGCTACTGGTACGACATATATATATATATATATATATATATATATATATATATATATATATATATATATATATATATATATATATATATATATATATATATATATACATATATATACATATATATATATATATATATATATATATATATATATATATATATATATATATATATATATATATATATATATATATATATATATATTTTATCAAGTTTGGCCGTCCTTTTGACCTTGTGTAGGCTGGGGTTAATATTTACAACCCCCCCCCCCCTCCCGTCCAATATTGTCACTGTTGCAGCTCACACCACATTCACTGTTGTTATTTTGTGACTGGTGAGGCCGCCTGCCTCCCTCACCAGTGACTGGTGAGGCCGCCTGCCTCCCTCACCACAGTGACTGGTGAGGCCGCCTTCCTCCCTCACTACAGTGACTGGTGAGGCCGCCTGCCTTCCTCACTACAGTGACTGGTGAGGTCGCCTGCCTCCCTCACCACAGTGACTGGTGAGGCCGCCTTCCTCCCTCACTACAGTGACTGGTGAGGCCGCCTGCCTCCCTCACCACAGTGACTGGTGAGGCCGCCTGCCTTCCTCACTACAGTGACTGGTGAGGTCGCCTGCCTCCCTCACCACAGTGACTGGTGAGGCCGCCTTCCTCCCTCACCACAGTGACTGGTGGGGCCGCCTGCCTCCCTCACCACAGTGACTGGTGGGGTCGCCTGCCTCCCTCACCACAGTGACTGGTGAGGCCGCCTTCCTCCCTCACTACAGTGACTGGTGGGGCCGCCTGCCTCCCTCACCACAGTGACTGGGTGTCTGGGGTGAGGTGCGCCCCGGGCACACAAACATCCTGTCAGCTCGTCAGCTTAACAATGGGATCATAATCACTGCACTATTCCACAGTCCTCAATTGAGGTGAACGAAATTTTGTGAAAAAAACTGCATTTTTTTCCCCCGTTCCGAAGTTACCCCAAAAATAATTGTGTCGGCGTATAACTGCGTATGTCAGACGTCTGTGGCGCTTATAGGACACCATTATGACTTAAACATCGACTGTTTATGTTGTTAATGGGAGACTTGTCTGTGACTCCCCGCTACACCACCACCACCACCACCACCACTACCGCCACCACCACCACCACTACCGCCACCACCACCACCGCCTCCACCACCACCACCACCACCACCACCACCACCACCACCACCGCTGCACCACCACCACTACCGCCACCACCACCACCGCCTCCACCACCACCACTACCACCACTACAACCACCACCACCATCACCACCACCACCACCACCATCACCACCACCATCACCACCACCACCACCACTGCCTCCACCACCACGACCACCACCACCACCACACTATTGTCTGCTGTAAGTAAAGCGGCTCAACTCAGCAGAGCTTTGTCTGGCGTGTTTTCTCAGTGTTGAGGGATACCCCAGCCCCTGAGATTAACCAGATTAACCCAAGTTAACCCAGATTAACCTGTTTGTGAGACGGGATAGGAGACTCAAAGTCAGGTTCCCTGTGAGTATTGACGGGGGAGTGGAGCTGAGCTTGACGGGGGAGTAGAGCTGTGCTTGACGGGGTAGTGGAGCTGTGTTTGACGGGGTAGTGGAGCTGAGCTTGACGGGGGAGTGTAGTTGTGCTTGACGGGGTAGTGGAGCTGAGCTTGACGGGGGAGTGAAGCTGAGCTTCACGGGGTATTGGAGCTGTGCTTGACGGGGGAGTGGAGCTGTGCTTGACGAGGGGAGTGGAGTTGAGCTTGACGGGGTAGTGGAGCTGAGCTTGACTGGGTAGTGGAACTGTCCTTGACGAGGGGAGTGGAGCTGAGCTTGACGGGGTAGTGGAGCTGTGCTTGACGGGGTAGTGGAGCTGTGCTTGACGAGGGGAGTGGAGCTGAGCTTGACGGGGTAGTGGAGCTGAGCTTGACTGGGTAGTGGAACTGTCCTTGACGAGGGGAGTGGAGCTGTGCTTGACGGGGTAGTGGAGCTGTGCTTGACGAGGGGAGTGGAGCTGAGCTTGACGGGGTAGTGGAGCTGAGCTTGACGGGGGAGTGGAGCTGAGCTTGACTGGGTAGTGGAGCTGTGCTTGACGGGGGAGTGGAGCTGTGCTTGACGAGGGGAGTGGAGCTGAGCTTGACGGGGGAGTGGAGCTGAGCTTGACGGGGTATTGGAGCTGTGCTTGACGGGGGAGTGGAGCTGTGCTTGACGGGGTAGTGGAGCTGTGCTTGATGAAGGTAGTGGAGCTGTGCTTGATGAAGGTAGTGGAGCTGTGCTTGATGAAGGTAGTGGAGCTGTGCTTGATGAAGGTAGTGGAGCTGTGCTTGACGGGGTATTGGAGCTGTGCTTGATGAAGGTAGTGGAGCTGTGCTTGACGGGGTATTGGAGCTGTGCTTGACGAGGGGAGTGGAGCTGTGCTTGACGAGGGGAGTGGAGCTGAGCTTGACGGGGTAGTGGAGCTGTGCTTGACGGGGTAGTGGAGCTGTGCTTGACGGGGTAGTGGAGCTGTGCTTGATGAAGGTAGTGGAGCTGTGCTTGATGAAGGTAGTGGAGCTGTGCTTGATGAAGGTAGTGGAGCTGTGCTTGACGGGGTATTGGAGCTGTGCTTGACGAGGGGAGTGGAGCTGTGCTTGACGGGGTAGTGGAGCTGTGCTTGATGAAGGTAGTGGAGCTGTGCTTGATGAAGGTAGTGGAGCTGTGCTTGACGGGGTAGTGGAGCTGTGCTTGACGGGGTAGTGGAGCTGTGCTTGATGAAGGTAGTGGAGCTGTGCTTGATGAAGGTAGTGGAGCTGTGCTTGACGGGGTAGTAGAGCTGTGCTTGACGGGGTAGTGGAGCTGTGCTTGATGAAGGTAGTGGAGCTGTGCTTGATGAAGGTAGTGGAGCTGTGCTTGACGGGGTAGTGGAGCTGTGCTTGATGAAGGTAGTGGAGCTGTGCTTGATGAAGGTAGTGGAGCTGTGCTTGATGAAGGTAGTGGAGCTGTGCTTGATGAAGGTAGTGGAGCTGTGCTTGATGAAGGTAGTGGAGCTGTGCTTGACGGGGAAATGGAACCTGAGATCCTAACAGCCCATTAACCCTCCGATGATCTCATACTTGCCCCAGATGGCATCACAATATACCCCGGGAAGAGGGGCAGACAGCTGGTGTGGGACTACACATGTGTATACACCCTAGCTGACACCTATATACACCTGACAGCTGATCAGGCAGATGGTGCGACTAACGACAGGGGAACAACACAATCAAACAAGTGCAAGCAACTGGAAATCAGTACACGCGAGTCCCCATATAGCATCTGAGACACTCAGCCCTTCGGGTAGGAGCACCTTGAGGTTTTTCAGGGAATTGGGTTCCATGCTCGATGACGCCACCAGAGACCCAAGAGCTGCCAGCTACATGTTTCAACGCCTCAGTGTGGCTATCCAGAGGGGAAATGCCTGCTGTGTCCTCAGTTCCTGTCCGGAAGCTGAGGAACTCCAGAAGATCCACAATTTTTAACTTTCCATTATTATAACCAATGAATAACTTGTAAGCTTTATATATATATATATATATATATATATATATATATATATATATATATATATATATATATATATATATATATATATATATATATGCAATTGACGATCACTAAACACTGATCATTTGTATGCGGAAAAACCACAAAGAAATGGGAAGAGAAATGAACGTTTCGGCCTGTTAAAGCCGTTGTCAACAACAGACTCAAACTGTCTGACTCAGACTGTCTGGTGTTGACAACGGCTTTAACAGGCCGAAACGTTCATCTCTCTTCCCATTTCTTTGTGGTTTTTTCCGCATATATATATATATATATATATATATATATATATATATATATATATATATATATATATATATATATATATATATATATATATATATAAAATCATCAAGAGAAGCCTCGTCTCAGCTCAGTGCCCAGCGGAGAGAGAACCTCGTATCCTAGGGGGTCCAAAACCCGGATTTCCCCGCACTTCGCCCTGATGGCATCACCATATACTCCTGGAAGGAGGGTAGACAGTTGGTGTGGGACTACACATGTGTATCGACCCTGGCTGACACCTATGT